TTTTTAGCTGGTTATTTGTAAGGAGTAAGCGTGCGACTGTGGATACGGATTTCAGTCTGGGTTTGCGTCTAACTCTTTCCTACGCCTACATTTTCCACCTACACGTGACTGTAATAAACGACTATTCATTTCTTAATTTCTCTTCTTCGAAATAATCAACAGAGAGTGAATACTGACATAATAAAAATGGCGATTGAAATAAATATTCTATATCATAAACAAAGAGGAAATGGTTCATACAATCCTTTACATAATATAAAATTTTAAAGAAGATTATTTTATTTTTATAATTGAAATTAGTAACACTTGATCTATGAATCGGAAAAAGAAACTTTATTGAATATTAATCAGAAAATAATTCTATTAGAAGAGATTATCTGGAAAATGCTTTTATATAGATATATTAGTTTAATATTTCTCATTGAAGTAAAAAGAATGTTGAAGACGGATAAAAGTAATTAGAGACAGGTAAATCAAATAAGATTTAACTTGTCATGATTTGAAAATTTTTTGAATAGATTATTAATTGAGTTGTAAACGTCTGTTAGTTAATACGACTTTAACTTCTATCGAAATGTAACTAGCCCTTTCATTTTATTAGAAAAGTTAATTTTTTATGATTAGAATCTAAGAATGTATTTAATTTATTAAAATATAAAAGCGAAAAAAGAAATATATTCTATTATAGATTTAAAAAGAAAAGAAAATGTCTTCAACAAACCCTTTAATAAGCTCAATAACAATTTATGTCGGTCTTCCAATATTTATAAGTGGTACATTGGGAAATATAGTTGATGTTCGTCTTCTTTGGCGAACTCGTCGTAATCCATGTGCATTTATATTTATAGTATCATCACTCGTTAATTGTATTGTTTTATTTTATGGCTTATTTACAAGAATCTTAAGTGTTGGTTTTCATCTTGATTGGTCAACAACAAATCATATCTGGTGTAAAACTCGTGTTGCTTTAACTCAATCAAGTTTTTTAATATCATTAACATGTATTTGTTTAGCAAGTATTGATCGATTTCTTGTTAGTTGTCGTCAAGAAAAATATAGAAAATTGAGTCGATTATCAATAGCTATATTCGCTGTTATAATAACAAATATTTTTTGGATATCCATTTTTGTTCCTTATTTAATATATGCCGATATATTAAGAAATCCAACAACAGGTTTATTTTCTTGCACTCTTATACGAAATGATGCTTTTGCTATATATCAAAATTATATAGGACTTCCTATTCTTTATGGTTTATTACCGAGTACAACTTTAATAATAACAGGTATAATGACATATAGAAATACAAAAAAATTACAAATAAATCGTCAACGAGAATTAGTTCAAAAACAATTAACATCAATGATGCTTATACAAATACCAATAATACTTCTATCAACATTACCATATGTTATATTTACAGAATATACAATATTAACTGCAACAGTTAGTAAATCTGTTGATCGAAGAGCTGCTGAACTTTTGATTACAAATATTTTTACAATTCTATGTTATATAACATTTGCATGTCCTTTTTTTGTTTTTTTTTCTACATCATCATCATTTCGACAAGAAGCGAAAATTTTATTTTTATGCAGAAAAACAAATCAATTGAGAATCAATCAAATTCAACCCTATTCAACAACTATTCAGAGATATACAAGAACTATTTTAATGAGAACAAATTAAAAATAAATTTTATTTAACAATTATTATTAATATTTTATTTTATAAATCAATTATAAAATTTTTATTTTCTTTATATCGATTTCTATTGTTTAAATGTTGTTTGTCTGTAAATTAATTTAAGGTAGTTAGTTCAGATTTTTTTTATTTTCGAAAGAAACATTTTTGTTGTCTACTTATATGTAATATGATTTTAATTATAATTAATTTAATGTTCAATTCAAATAATAATCTATTCAATAAATAATGATATATTCATTTTTAGTTTTTATTTTAAATCTACGAAATACATTGGCAATATAATAAACGATTTGTATTATCTTTATTATTTAGTAAAAAAAATTCTTTATTAATATAATTGAAACTTCGAAGATAATAGTTGAAATTCTTTTAGACTTAATGATAATTATAATAAAAAAAAACGTTAAAAAATAAATTATTTACGCTAAATTTTACTTCAATAAAATAAACTTCTAAAAATAAGTTTATACGATTTGAAATCATTGAGAAAATTATTTTTCTCATTTTGATTATCGTACTTTTTACAACTAGGAAAATTTTCTATTTATTATATATTTAATTAGAATTAAAATATTTTGTCAATATATAAATGATATATATTGAGATAATCATTATCATAATACTTATTCAAATTATTTAAATACTTTCATCAATTAAAAAAACTAATACATTCATATTTATCTTTGATGTTTGTTGCCAATGGTATCGATCAATTGTGTAACTATGTTTTATTTTTACTATTAAATATCTGTTAATCGTTGATAAAATATTCTTATTGAAAATATCAGCATTACAATTTCTTAATGTTTGTTTAGATTTCGAATAAAATAAGTTATTTTTGACATTTTTTTGTTATTCAGGTCTGACCAAAATTCAACAAAAAAAATTTGAAAAAAGGATAATCAATTCGATCGATAGAATGTTCAAATTCGGACTATTTTCATAATAGATGCATAAACAATTTTTAGAAAACTTACAACAGCATTGGAATTTAATGCTTCGTCATATCTCTATTAGTTTAAAGATAGGCGCGAAGTGTTTTTGTCAATGAAAAGATAATCTCAATAATGAGTATCAATATAGTCGTTCGATATCCGACTCTCACCAATGAAAATATTTAACTGGAACGACAGATTATCAACATTGAACTTATGATCATATTTTAACTGAGATTTCTCTCTCTCTCTCTCTCTCTCTATAGCATAATAAAACAAATTATTCATGGCTGTCTAAGATAAGAAATGTTCTATAATGTTGAGTGTCTCAACAATGTAACGATGAACAAAAGCAAGAACAAGTTGGAATTTTTTGTGATAGATCATAGACAAGTTGGACGCAATTCAAATAATGCAATCTGAATTAGTGAAGATGAATCATCAATCATTATTATTTGTCAAAGTAGATTTGAACCAAAAAAATTGTTTTCGGTATTTTTTTAAATTAAATAGTTTTGTCCTTATATATAGAGTGTAGATAAAGGGAAGACTATAGGTCACAGCTATCATATTGAATATAGCCTCAGATCTATTGTCAACAAAATATAGAAACAAAAAAATTCTTTAAGTAGAAAATGTACAAAATGAATTGATGACAATGCTCGACATGATATTTATTCAGATGTTATTTATCATGTCAGACAAGAATCTATCAATTCAACGCTGCATACATCATTTTTATCAGACCTTGCATAATGTAATCTTTGACTAAATAATTATATCAAGCATTATTTAACTGACCAAACAAATGAAAAATCATAGAATCGTGCGTTTTTCAAGACAGTTAAAAACATATGAGAAGAAGAGTTAAAAAGAACATTTGACAAATGATTAGAAACGATCGAACTTTGTGTCAATAATTGTGACAACTATTTTGAATATTTAATAAAATTAAATTAAAAAAAAAACATGATTATTTTTATATTTTTATTTAATATGTTGAGAAATTTTGTTAATGGTTCAGTAATAGATTTGTAAACAGTTAGTTATAAATGTCTTATGTTTCAAAATGATTCTTCATTTCAATCATCACAATAAGGAAACCAACTCTTTTGAAATAATTTAAAATAAAGTCTCGTATAAAACAACAAAGAAGCTCAAGTTTTGTTGAAAGTTGAAAACTGATTATGTCTATTGTTTCATCTTGGTGTAAAGTTAAATCATTTTCTTAGTTAAATCTAAATATTATTGTTGACTTGATTTTTATGCTTCAGAATATAAATCTTATGAGTAGACAACAATTATATACAAAATGAAATTAGTGTACTAACAATTGCAATTATCTCTCTATATTGGAAACGCATGAATACATTTTTCAATTATTTAACAGTTACGTTATGTTAGTGAAATAATCTACTTAACTGACGAATTAAATTCAATAATGTCATCGATGTGTTAGTACTTTACTCTTTGACGTCGACGTAAATCCACATTATATATTTGACCATAAGAAAACAAAATCTGCAATTTAAAGAATAAAAACTATTGGACAATAAGGGTTTGTATGAGTGTGTAAATGTAAGTCTTCTCTTCTATCTTTCATTGTTTCAATATGATAACTCATGATGGTTGCTATTTTAGAAGATAGTTCTGAATGAAAGTCAGGATTTTCGTTTAAAACTCAATTTTCATAAGATGTTATCAACACATGTCAAGCTTTGCGAGGATGTGATTAAATGAATGTTCTGGCGATCGAATATCATCATACCCGTATATTAACATCAGATCATTTTAAACAAGATGTAGAGAACGTTAAAATATACTTTGAATACAAATAGACTTTAGTCAGATGTAGCATAATTAATATATTCATGTATTCATTATTAAAATATTAATTTGTAAATAAGATTCATTTAATTATTTATTATTTAATGTTAATTTTTTTGAAGTACTGATTGATTCTATATATCAATGACAAAATGAAATAAGAAAGCATTTTTTTTGTTCTATCTCAATCATTTCATTGAACTATACAAAGTTAAACATATTGTAATAAAAATAAAAAGTTAGTTTTAAAAAAATTCGTTTAAGAAAATAAAAGAATAGCTATTTTTATAGAAATGTTGATTATTCCATACGAGAAATAATAATTAATTTCTGTTGAAATAAATTGCGTTTTAATGATGAATATAATAATGAAAATTATTAATCACTTATTGTTTATTGATAATTGAAAATTTTTTTCTTAAGCTTGTTTGAACATTTTGAAAATGCCAAACGATAAGATTGTTTTTTCTGTGTAATAGGTGTTGATAAATTAGTTATTAAACTATGTTTTTTATTAATAATGTATCTGTATTTAGATAATTTTCTTCAGCTGCTAATAAATATGGATGATTGTGAGGTAATAATAAACGACGAATATTTCGGCAAGATCAGAATGTATTCGTGAAAGAAAATTTATATCAATTTGAAGACTTTTTTGAAAATGTTTAAGAGTATCATTAAAATGTTCTTGCCTTTTAAGAACTATTCCAATATTATTATAAACTGATCCTAATATTCTTTTATCATTTGAATTTGTATTAAGAGCTGATTGAAAATAAAATAAAGCATAATCAAGATTCCCTTGTGCATGATAAATAGAACCCATATTTGAATAAGTATCAGCTAAAGGTGGATCATTCGAATGTTTTGGTAAATAATTAGATTAAATATCAAGTGATTTTTGAAAATATTTAAGTGATTCATCAAGATTTTTTTCCATTGTGAACACAACAAAGTTGATGATCATTTAAGGAAGTTTTTTCTAAAATATTTTCATCAATTTGTTGTACTTTATCAAATTATTCAATATTTAATATTAATTTGGCTAAACTTTCCCAAGGATTCAATGAACACTGAAGATCTTCACGTAAATGTTTTGTTAATTGTTCAAGTTGTATATCATCTTGATTTGTTGCTAATTTTAAATAAACTTGCCAAATTCTATTTTCATCTTTCATTTGTCGAATATGAACAACACGAAAAACTGTTTGTGTTGAAAAAAGAATTTCTATTTCTTTATTTTTAAAATAACTTCAATTACTTAAGGATGCATATGGATTTGATAAATTAACTTTTTTTGGATCAATTTTCATACGAAATATAACTCCACGAAGACCTAGTTTATCAATAGCAAGTCGAGCAAATTCAAGTGAAATATCTTTATCAAGACTTGTTGACAGAAAACTAAATTTACATAACTTTTCAAATTAATCATTTTCATTCCTTGACAACGATAAACAACCATTGGGCAATTAGAACAATCATTTATTATACCATCAAATTTAATTAAGCAAAAGTAAAATCTTTTCCACAATAGAATATTCTTCTTCGATGAACGATGCGCCTAAACTAATTAAAGGATTGTCTTTAACAATTTCAACCTTAATCATTTAGTCTCATATTTTGATCATAACAATGGATCAGAACTTTATCGATCTTGATGCCGAAGAGCTAGAAAGTTAACATGAATTTTTTTCAGACAAGAACATCTAAACATAGAAAACAAATTCTATGACGTTAAACTCCTCATTTGACAGCTGAGTGTTGTCTTAATCACCAATTAAAATTTCATATCAAACAATTTTAGTTAGTCTGATTCATAAAATAATATTTGAGTAATCTCCGCATGGAAGTTGGCGGGAATTGTTGAAAAGTGAATCATATATCTAACTAATTTGCACTAAAAAATTTCACGATCACAGCGTTCGATGGAGAAAAGATCCATGATGAGATTGTTCTACTACGAAAGTGCGTAATTTAAAATGTGTCTCTAGTCGTATAATAAAATCAAATATCTAAAAAGTAAAAGGTACTTATAATTACTTATAGGAAACTAAATCTGACAGTATTTTTAGCTATTCAATGAAATATATTTGCTGAATTAGTAGTGAAGTAATATTAAGGACATTTTTNCACTCGACCACGTCGGAAGAAACCATCAGTAAAATTGACTCGGTATGGTTTATTTTCATTATTTCACTTTAATGAGCATCTTATTAAATGAATTTCTAAGATGGGAGAGAGTATTTCAAACGTCATGAACAAAGCTACACCATATACCACAAGGAATGAGATTTCGAAGAAAAAAACCAAAGAAACAAGTTGATTCAACACTTGATTTCATCGAATGTTCGAAGTAGTTTCTCTAGTTATTCGCAGAGAATCGTATGCACTCAAACCCCTAGTTCTTTCGAGAGACAATCTATTACTTCAGTTTTACGAAAACGTAACATGCGAAATTCATATAGACTGTTGAGTTTCTATTGATAACAACTCTTATTTTAGTCTATCTAATGAGAAACCACGAAACCCTGAAACCTTGAATCCCCCTGGATCCAAAAAATTTTCCTATTATTCTTTAGAATTCAAAATATTCCCCAGGATTGCATAGAATTCCTCTGACTTCCGTAGAATACCTCAGGACTCCATAGAATTTCTCGGGGTTCCATAGGATTCATCGAGTTCAGTAGCATCCCTCAGGGTTCCGTAGGATTCTATGGGACTCTCTTGAAGGGCGTACGTGTGTGTATCTCTTTTCTATCCTTCCCGTGCACATCCACACCTGCACCCACACTCACACCCACACCCACACCCGCACCTACACCCACACCCCTATCATAAATAACAAGCAACAGCAAAGGAAAAAAAGAAAAGAAAATAAGAACGACAAGGGAGAAATGCTTGAGTGTATAAACCGTGCTTGTGCTCACGTTGTTCTATGTCTGACGATGGCAACATCATTGTCGAAACGGCACGATAAAAATAAAAATAGGAAGAGTAATTCATATCAAATAAATTTATTATGTTCTTCCTATTAAATCGAAATGAATTCATACAACGCCTCTCATCTAAACCATGAGACTTTCTTTAGAAGATTTGGAGGACGGAGTCTTAATTCCATGTACCTATAGATTATGTTCTTCTAATTCTGAACATGGTGAGCATCACAATTGCTGCTAATAAGTGATGAGACAGGCAGAACAAGGCCGTCCGTGAAAGCATGTGCCAAGTGTATCATGTACGAGGGTGTAAAAACAAGTTAAGTCAATATAGTGCGATTGGTTATCTCAGAAGACGCAAGAAAGCGGAGTCATCATGATGCGAGGGCATACTCTAAGAGAACGCAATAAAAAGGAGTATCAGCATAGTGGGGTTGTTTAGTTATACATAACAAATGCATAAAAGGTATATTTTTCATAATTATCTGAAGAACGACGGTTAATAACTGACAACACCCACCATCACTACCATAACAAGAAAAATGGGCAAACTCGATGGAAAAATCGCTCTCATTACCGGTGGCTCTGAAGGTATCGGTTTGGCTACTGCTCGGCAGTTCATCGTCGAAGGTGCAGCACATGTCTTCATCACTGGACGACGTCAACAAGCACTCGATGATGCCATCAAGATGATTGGTGACAATAATGTGACCGCAGTGCAAGGTGACGTCTCCAATTCGACCGATCTCGACAAGCTGTACAGCTTGATTCAGGAGAAGGCAGGGCGTTTAGATATTCTCTTCGCCAACGCAGGTATAGTAATGCTTACTCCTCTGGATACTGTCACAGAAAAACAGTTTGATGACCTATTTAATATCAATGTCAAAGGAGTGTTGTTCACTATCCAAAAAGCATTGCCAATATTTTCCGACGGTGGATCGATCATCCTCAATGCATCCAACTATTCTGTCAAAGGGCCTCCAGCCATGAGCGTCTACTGTGCGACAAAGGCGGCTCTTCGCTCTTTCGCCCGCTGTTGGACGGTCGATTTAAAGGAGCGCAAGATTCGAGTGAATGCTGTGAGTCCGGGACCAGTTGACACGCCAGGAGTGAGACATTTGGGTGGTAAGACTGAAGAAGAACGGAAACAGAGTTGTGCTCACTTGGCAGCTACTTCACCGATGAATAGATTTGGTACAAGCGATGAGATTGCAAAAGCAGTAGTTTTTCTCGCTTCGGACGATAGCAGTTATGTAACGGGCATAGAACTTTTCGTTGATGGCGGCATAGCACAAATATAAGACTTTTTTGTACAATCAAAGGGTGTGGGTGTGGACGAAAGCAAAGTACGCACTCATTCCCACACCCACACCCAACCATTCGTCAGTGAAGATAAGACATACAATTAGTTTGAACGTTTTAGTCTTAAATAAAATTGCATGGAAATCAGAAGGTTCTACAACTACAGTATAATCTGAGATTAATCGCCCGCATAAATGATATAATTGAATGTTTGCAAGAGCGGCAAAAGAGAAAATTCTTGTCCACCACCCGTTGTTCCTGTCTGTCCCGTCACTTCATGTCTATGATCACCAGCATAATGAATCGAAATGCCTGTCGTTGACGCTTTAGCAATAGGACTATCATGTTTTACCCATCTACCACCGCTTGCTAGTTGGTGCGACCCGCTATGATCTCCGTAACTAATGCCGATACCATTAGAAAGATGATGCATGTGACTAGGATCATGAATGCCGTAGGAGTGTGGGCGTGGGTGGGTGTGGGTGTGGGTGGGTGTGGGTGGGTGTGGGGGGGGATGTGGGTGTTGGTGCGTGGGCGTGGGGGTGGTCGTGGGTGTGGGGGTGCGGGTGGGTGGGGATGTGGGT